CAGGTAATATACCTTATTCCGTACCGGCGATATCCTTCAGGTAATATCCCTTATTCCGTACCGGCGATATCCTTCAGGTAATATACCTTATTCCGTACCGGCGATATCCTTCAGGTAATATCCCTTATTCCGTACCGGCGATATCCTCCAGGTAATATACCTTATTCCGTACCGGCGATATCCTTCAGGTAATATACCTTATTCCGCAAAGAATTTAAAATCGAAGAAAACTCCAAGCAAGTGCACCATATCTTCACTGATAAGGCTTCGGAGGCCAGCTCCATCATCAGCTGGTTTCCAAAACTTTTTTGTTGAAGATATGGTGGACTTGCTTGACATTTACTTGGCTTTTAAATTCTTCATGAGCTTGCAATTTAAGCAGACTAATGTCCCTATTTTGTGTTTCTAGGTACATTGTTACGCTCCCTAAACGAGACAATTCCATATATAAACATAACTAGCAACTTAGACTGGCGTGGGACTCATCATCCATAACCTCTTAATCTCGTGGCTAATTTTCAAAGTAAAGTAATGTTGATTATGAAGAGAACTATTAGAATTGACCTTTAACACAGATTTTCCTTCTAACTTCCGTTTCGAAATTTGAAGATTTTTAATCGTGCATATGCAAAGAAAAATTAAATGCACAAAATCAAGAGAACGAATTGAAATTTTTATTTTAACTCAATTACCTTGTCTTTAATGTTTTTTTAATTGAAAATTTAAAAAATTTTCATACTAGTACTGAGTTACTTGTTCAGTTTGTATTTCTTTACCTGATATTCGATCAATTGAAAGCAACAAAAAATATTGTTCGACTAATATTGAATGAAACGACAAGAAAGGAAATTACCAATAAAACTCAGGCTCTGGTTTCCAATCAAATTAGTGTAAATGAACAAATATTGGATTCTATATGAAATTCAATTTTAGATACTAATAATATTCTGATACTTTAGGTATTATGGAGACTCTCGCCAATATTATGGAGACGCTCCAATTTGAATATGTACATCGCACAACGACAGGCTTCAAATAAACAAGGACACTTTTTCACAAACTTTTGTGGTATATTGTTTTTCAGAAACTGTTATTTATAAATTTTCACACTTATACAATAGACGATTGCATCTACGAAAGACGATTGAAGTGCAAATTGCTCACCACCAACTTTTTCATAGTACTTGTTATGCTTCTAGCATAATTGACTCGATTCTCGACTTTTGCCCAAGTGTTTAGCTCACTTCATATTGATCATATTTACTAGAAGCAACATATAAAGGTTTTAATAAAACTTCACATCTCATACTCCTGGCACCCACCTGACACATTTTATTTTTTTAGTAGAAGTCATATGGCCAATATGCAGTCCATTACATTATGATTATTATTCCTTCCTATAAATGCAACATTATCAACCAAGTGTGTACATCCAAATAAGCTCAGTTTACTTCGACAATCTAGGATGACTTTCAATGATAGGTTTTCGATTGCCATTGGTAGAAAATTCGCCTAGCGTTTCAATATAGTTCGTTTTTTTTTGTTCTACAAAACCATTGTGAAAGGCGACGAGACCGAGGACCGAGTCTATCAGTGTCTAATGTGGCCCTCGGTCTTATGAAGCCCCCTCTAAAAACTTGAGCTTGGAACATTACCAGGCGCTCCTTCCCTTCATGACCGTCATTTCCGACGATGCTGCCTCTCACATCCGAGAAATTCCTTTGCTCACAAGAAGCAGCTTCCTAGTCCTTTCTTTTAATTCACTAAGCTATTGCTGATTTTTTATGCTTGAATTTGTGTGTGTGTGTTTGTGTGTCGGTATGGAGGACTGATATCAAGTGCCATCCTGCCTTGGCCGCGAGGGAGTTTCTATCGTCATTGTGGCCTAATTTCGCCATGTGTGATCCGCGACTGCCATTTCTAATGGGGTCGTTAAGCTAATTGCTTTCAAATGTATAGAACACTAGGGCCGGAAAACGACTTCAGAATGCCCATGAGAAAATTTTAAATCATTTTTCATAGACAAATTTGCTACCTTGTGCTGCGTACTTAAGAATAAAAATGTATCTTACAAATAATTGTGAACTTCATTTTGGTCCTACTCCATTTCATTGAAAATGTCATTTGAGACCCATGCGTAAACCAAACTTTCTCACGAGTTTTACCAGACACGGTGCCGGTTTAGTCAAACCTACGAATCTTTCAAGTATCACTCCCCTTCTTTCGTGACTTGGTCATGAATGTTTTACAAGTTCATTGATGTTAACGGTGCCGTATAACATTGTTGCAACTCATACCACGTGCATGAGGGCTGAGGATGATAACTACGAACAGGATAATAAGCAGAATGATGAGGCACAGCTTCATGTGTTATCTTGCTGGAGCACAAGCCGTCTTTATTAAAGAAGACCCACATTACCGAGCTCTCGTGAAGCCTTTTATTGACCATTCTCTTCCATTATATTATTATTATGCTACCTATGGCGGGTCTTGCAAATTGTGGGCTTGGTCGAATTTTCTGTAAGTAGGTGCCTTTATTTTGCAGTCTTTGTTTTTATTTATTGAGTAAATAATCATTGAATTTTCCACGGCTTGAACAGTGGCGATGCTGATTAATTTTCAACAACTTAATTGCCATGTGTAACTTATTGCCAGAAGTTTCATTCTCAAATCGTAGTATAAACCACGCAAATTCTAACGGTTGCAAAGCTTGAAATACTTTCAACATTTATCCTCTCAAGCTGTCGTACCGTGCTGAAAAGAACGCCAACATGGCCGCTTTCCAACGAGCATCCGTGCGAACGGCTGGTTTTTAAAGCTTATCCTGGATCGCTTATTTACTGAGTTGCACGTTTTCAGTGTTGTTTGATGGCTCAGAAGCCGCGACAGGTTTCTTCTTCATCGTTATTTTCACCAAAAACTGCTAGTGAATCATCGCTTTGAGTCAACGCAGCGACCCTGGCTGCTATAGGCCGTGATTTTCGGCCGCCTCGCGACTTTTATTCACTTTAGCTGAAGCAGAAACTTTCTGGGTGGCTGCGGCGCTACGAGAATCTCCTTGGGAATTCTGACAGCTTTATTTGATTGCTGTTGAAAGTTTCTAACTTATAAATTCAAGTTTTAAGGCTCTTCAATATTTATGCCTTTTTATGCAGTAAAAACGGTTGGACTGACGACGGATTTGTGTGATCACCTTTTATCAATTCTACTGCTGGATCAATTCAATTCCAGATGAAAAATTTCATATTTTGAGTAAATCGATATAACTTGCCTTTGAAAGAATCTCTGGTCGACTTTATGCGAGGCATTTATAAGTTCAAACGATGACTTTTACTTCCGTGTTATTGAGAGCAAAGCTGCTAAACTTTCTTTTCGACGACATTAGAACTTCTGAATTCAATTCACTGGTCCACAATTGTTCAAACTTCTAACTTGATAACCAGCAAGCTTTTAGCTTCTTCTATGTAATCAAAATTACTCATCACTTAAATAAATTCTCGTTACAGTTTCGAACCTAAAAGTTTCTCGATTTTCTCCTTGCCAACTACATTTTCTTTTAAATTACTTGCCATCGTCGTCCAATTTTTAAATTATATTTCACTCTAAGTGCGTCGTTTATTTCGGTATTTGTTGCAATTTTAAATATTAATTTTTTTTGTTTGTGAGCGATAAAAGCATCGTTGCTCGTTGATATAGAGGCAAGTGAGAAATGTGCACTTGTTCTTAAATTTCCGGAAAAAGTTTTGTCATCCTCCCTGTTTTAATCATTATCCTCTTACGCCATCTTTAGTTCTTGGAGGAAAAGTAAATCCTGAACACATTGTCAAAGTTTACTCTACAAAAATGTTGAGGGTATTTTACTTGTGTTCCAGATCATCTCGAAGGATGACCACAACTGGTGGCAGGCGAAGAAGGATCCCAGCGGCACAGCAGGACTCATCCCGTCGCCTGAGCTGCAGGAGTGGCGGACAGCCTGCCTAGCTATGGAGAAGGGCAAGCGGGAGCAGGGTGAGAGGGAGTGTTGGGTGAGGGGGAGTGTTGGGTGAGGGGGAGTGTTGGGTGAGAGGGAGTGTTGGGTGAGCTGTCTCTTATACACATCTAGATGTGTATAAGAGACAGAGTTACTGGACTGATCACACGGTGCTCCAGCTGCCATAGTTACTGGACTGATCACACGGTGCTGCAGCTGCCACAGTTACTGGACTGAACTTGCTGCGCCATCGCGACGTATTTACAGGATAAAAATTACTGTGGCATAGGTACCCGGAGCTCCTTCACTGCATCTTTCAACATTTCCGCATCCATATCGCAGCAGCCAATAGTGAAGCGTCGTGGCAGTTCCCAGTCATGAATTGTTTATTGTCTTGCTATATATTTACGTTTTATCGACCTTGTTTTCTGTACTTTCATGTTACATTAAATTTTTCGATGTAGCTCATGGTTCAAACAGCATCATCTATCGTACGACCCACTTTTCATCTGAATTTTTCGCTCACCTATATTCGTGATAAGTATTACTTGAAAAATATGTTCTTATTTCAATGTTCAACAATCTATATCTTAATTAAATGACTTGTTGCGATTTGCAAAAAGCTCGGTATATTCGTGATATGGTGTGGAATTTATGCTTGGCCGCGATGAAACTCGGCGTGGAATGGTGTGGAATTTTACCAAGTCTTGCTTGCCTATAATCACGCATGGGCTTCTTCCAGTCAAGTCATTTATTAATTACGTTTCTAGACTTGTTGCTTGCGCTGGAATAAATTTAATGTTCTCTCGCAATACGCTGATCATGTTCTTAATCATGCGTCTGAGTTACATTATATGTTGTGAAAATATTTAAATCTTGACTTATTTTTGCATTGCCTTCTATATCATCTATGCAAAAGTACGAAAGTAGAAGCTCTCCTTGTGCATGTAGAGAATGTATAAAGTAAGTTTAAAATTTTTTGAGGCTATACCATCAGTTCGAATTTCACGTCTCTCGATCGCTAGCCGAGGCTTTCTTGCATAAAATGTTTGGCAAGCCCGCACTTCGTTAGCGCGTCGTATTTTTTCGCTGCGACCGCTTCGTTGTCTCGCCTATTGTCAACATCGTGTTAGATCGCTACCATGTTTGTTTAGGCTCGGCTGTCGCCTGTCTCGCTGTTGGTTCGTTCGATTGTGTTATTGTAAATTTCCATTTTTTGTCGCAGAATGTTGCCTTCAACGCCAGAATGTCGCTCTCATAAATCTCCAGGCGATCAAAACAAAGTGCATTCCTCCAACTCGGCTGTTGCGACCACTCGTGCTTCGATCCTAGCCTGAAATAATCATTCACGGTATCCATGTCTTAATCTCAACTTGAGCTCACCATTAAACTCTTACTTTGGGGAACTAATTTGTGCGAGTTACTTTTTTTACATATGGTGTTTGCTTTCAGTTTCAATTTGTATCATTGAAACAGAATAAGCATGTTTGTGCTGAACTTTTTTCATTTAAACCACCAATTGATCCCATGAGCTCCACGCGTTGTGCACATATATGATGCATTGTAAAGTCGCCAAGTATTGCGTGGTATTGATGTAGCGAGAGCACTCAGCTTGCTTCTTGTCTGCCATGAATTTAGTAGAGAGGCCGAGTGGCGTCTGCCCCGGGCGATATTGTCTCGCTCGTAATGGCCCTTCAGCCATGACTGTATTACTCTGATGAGGCTTCTTGTTTCTCGTCCACATGCATCGCTGCAGCCACAGCATCGACAGAGGCTCAGTTTTGAGGGCCTTTCCGCCCACTCACTTACCCTGCACGTTGAAGCGAGCGCCTCTTAGCGATATTGAGGAATTCTTCGTGTCTTTGTGTCGTCCTCTTTTAGTTGGAAACTCCTACAACTTTATTTTTTTCGCGCGTGTCTTGTCAAAAATTGGGTGTCCTTTCACGAGGATCTAGTCTTCAGTTTATCAGCTTTATGGGTGAAGTAAAATCGGCTGCATTATTTTGAATCAAACGACAATTTTGTTTGTGTTCGTATCGTTTTAGAATATACCTACGGAAACTGCGAATGATTTATGTATTAATTGCTTCTGAAGTCTCTTCATTGTCCAGGATTCATCGTTTATTTTTTATTATTTCGTAACGATGAATAATAACCTCATTTTGCAATAATGGTACCCTAAAACCCCGTAAATTCGTATCGGATGCCGTAAAACCCGTCAAGTCGTATCGGCATCCAAATTACTGAATGATGAAAGTAAAAAAAAAAACACACCCTAGTTGTTCACCCGCGTCTATATCATGGAACACCGCGCCATTTAACTATATTATAGCGACCTAATTTTCCACAATTACACTTTCTTATGGAGACGCAGCTTGCCAGTTTTAGTCTACCACACAAAATGGCTGCAGTTTAAATCTTGCTCGACAAATTCCTTAATTCTAAGACCGTTTTTGTAAATGAATTTTCGTTTATCTTCACGAGGTGCCTGCCTTCGCCGGGTTTATGGGCTTTTTGCCGGGGTTTGTGCAAGGACAGCTCGGAAGCCAGAGTACTAAATCACGCACATGCATCCTGGTCTACAAAGCCGATTTTTCTACTCTTATCTCAGAAATCCCTTAAGTGCGCCCATCTGTTACTCAAGCAAGCTTTACACAATCGTCGAGACTCAAGGGAAATCTTCCAGAAACTGCCACTGGTTCCAGCAAATCTGGTTGTATTTTGATGGCTTTCTGAAATTGGCCCCATTTTCAAATGATCGTTTCAAAAATAAAATACTTAGAGCAGTCATTAAGAGACATCGGCTTTTCATCGGCTGCCAATATTGTATTCTATGTCGTCTGCCTGTGTTAGAAATGATTGTTTTTAATTCTTCGTTTCAAATATGAATGTTGAATACACGTTAATAGTCGTCAACCGTGCAACCCTTTTTACGAATACAGCTTAGTATTGTGTCTCAACACAGTGCAATTGTTTTGACTTCGATATGAATTTGGATGGTATTCTGGTCTTAGATGCGCCTTAACATCTAACCGGTGCTTTTGATCCGAAAGAAGAAGTATTACTATCGACAAAAAAAACTATATTCAATGATTTAGTCGATTCTATTGATAATAAGACGATATAGATTTTGAAATGTTTAGGCTCGTGAGCAATAATAGGTGCAACTCGAAAAGCCCTCTTTCTGTTTCCTGATGAATATGCTCTGATAATTGCTATCGTATTTATTATCATTTGTATCTGACCTTATTTCAAAAGTCGTGTCTTAAATTAGATTAGAAATTTTGCGACCTTCTCCTTGACCGTGTCTAACTCGATCATACTCACTTGGTGCGGGAAAACAAGAGAAGAAGCGAGGGAGTTTCGTTGTCCGGGCGCTAAATTAGCTGGAGAGCTGCCGCCGACCGGACCATTGTGTCGAACAATACACTTCAGCGAATATATTTCTCGCCTGAACAAAGGATGTTAAGACGGCCCAGCCTTTGCAGGAGGATGCAAAAATGAAGACGGAAGAGAGGCGCGCGGCCCTTGAGTCTCTCCAGGACTCCTCTTCAAGCCTCATCAAAGAACGCCGATCCATAACATGGAAAAATTACTTCAGTGATGTGACTGTCATTTTTTAATCAACAGACCTTGGTCAGTTGCTCACGATCATTTTGCTCTATATTACCTATGTAGTATTATATTTGATCTAGTGCGTTTTTTATTTCCCCCTTAATAATCTGCAATCTCGATTCTGGTCGAAAAAGTGCGATTCATAAAGGGTGTCCCAGATGATAACAAAATTAATTGGAAGTTCCATCTATACTTATTCATGAGGTTAAATATTATTTATTGACCGCGATTAGCCTGTCATTGCCCCACGCGGTATATTTCTTGAGCCGATAAATCCTATCGCAAACTAACCCGCGGTCGGAATTCACGTACGCAATATCCCGGCAAAATTGTAATCTTGCTGAGCTCTAAAGAGAACAAATGACCGCTTCGTTTGTTCGCGTTGAGCTCTTAATCCTGTTCATTTGGTCGCAATCTGGCACGTACGTGCTACTCAATAATTATTGGCGAGCTATAAACTGCAGCTGCCACACAATTGTTTGTGTTGCTATGCGATCCCTTTATAAGTTACAAATTAGCCGAGCACAATGCCAATATCCTTTGAGCTATAATTCCTACGCAACGTTCCAGTAATCATTACACATGTGCCAGCAAGCTACGCAGAGGCTGCTAAATATTCATTTCCATCTTATCAATCCTGATCGTAGATTGCAACATAGCGCTAAACGATGAATACTGAATCCTTATGACCGCTTAATTCGCTTCAGTGAATGAAATATCTTTTCTGTACGCGGAGCAAGGGGAGGGTTAATACTCATACATTTAGAAAGATGAGTAGGTCTTATTGTCTAAATAGTGACACTATCTCACCCACAGCACCAGCAAAGAGCGGACGTAGCACTGATACGCTCTATTGGCGGGCCCAAATGCGTCAGTTATTCACAGAAAGAGTAAAAAGTGAACAGAGTATCTGTTTGAACAAAGTCTCCCTTATTTCTCTAAGTGTTACTGCCGATGTCACCATAGACGATAAAAATGGCTTATTAAGAATGCGGCATAAAAATTAGAAAATGGTAAAATTAGAAAATAGAAAATTGCTTACTAAAAATACTGCATAAAAATTAGAAAATGATTATAAAAATTATAAATTGCTTATTAAAAATACTGCATAAAATTAGAATATAATTAGAAAATAAAAAAATGAAAATTGCTCATGAAAAATACTGCATAAAAATTAGAAAATAATTATTAAGTTAGAAAATAGAAAATTGCTCATTAAAAATACTGCATAAATATTAGAAAATAATTATACAAGTAGAAAATAGAAAATTGCTCATTGAAAATACTGCATTCTAATTAGAAAATAATTATAAAATTAGGAAATAGAAAATTGCTTATTAAAATACTGCATAAAAGATTACCCTCCTGAACAAGGTGTTCTTTGATACGAAAAAGTATTCCTACGTACAATCATTCAATCTAAAACTTTTTTTAATTTGTATAGGAACTTTTATGATTAATTTCTACGTTGACTGAGGAGGCTTTTGGATTTTCAATGCTCCAAAATAACAGATGCTGGCTATATCACAGCAACAAATGATAATGCGTCGAAAATAATGTATATTTGCTATACTAACATTATTGGGCAGGGCGATGGATGTGCGAAAGAATAGATAATACATGTGTGATTGTTATTTAAGCTAATTCCATTATGGCGCACGTCATGGTGATAGTGGCCATCTTGTACGCCTATTAAAATAATAATCTTCTAAGAGATTTTTCAAAGTTGCTGACTGTTTTTTGTCATCCGCGTCTGTAGTCATCGTAGGTTGTATGCGGTTAAAGTGTGCCTTGATTGCCAGGGTTGTTCTTACCGCACATTCCGCTCTATACTTTCCGTCAGTGCAGGCATAATAAATCGTTCTAAATAGCAAAAAGACAAACCGAGAATATAAATTAATTAATCCTCGTAAACCCTTGGCGCTATATGGGATATTTTGGCTATTTCTCATAAATGTTTTGACTACATTTCAGGGGACGATTTGTTACCTGAACATTCGGGATAAAAATTAATGCTGTTGAACGATTTTATTACTTTTAAGAAGCTTCTGAACTAAATTCTTATTTTTTTTATAACACTTTTGCACTGAGATAAAATTCTCGATTCTTTTTCAGCTGCCAAGTTCATAACCATGATCTTATTCCACGCTTTCCAGGACTGGTCTCTTCGATGCAGTCTCGTCAAAAAGGTTATAATCCGGATTTTCTGATCTGTCTCGCCTGATCGATGCGATGTTTTTTAATGTTTCTCGAATGGATTCCCCTGCATAAACCTGCTTTATCCCATTTCCCTTTTATTTGTAGATACTTTTTCATTTATTGTACGAGGATCCTTGTCGCTTGAATGTCGATGTGATTCCTTGTTTTACTTTAGACGTAAGTTTTTTTTTTCAATTTATTTTTAGTAGCCTTGTTAATACGTGTTATTTCTAGCGTATTTCATAGAAAAGATTGGATTGTTGCCCTCCCATACATAATAGTTTCCTCATTTCGTTCTTCCAGCATGGTTTCCTCTGCGACACTTGAAAGAACAATATTTTTTTCGCAATTTTATTTAGGTTAGTTAAGTATTGAAATCGTTAATATTTTACCAAATATTCCACCGCAGCTTTTTAGACCCTGAAAACGAGTATAATGTTTTGTCATGAATTTGTTTTTTTTTATGTTTTAGGAAACTACCAGAATTATTCGTTGCTTCTTGCCTTTAAAGAAACAATTGCGCGCTTACCCGTAAATAATATCAGGATTATTTCATTTATTATTTGCGAAATTTAGCGAAGTTTTTCATAAGGCCGTCGGTTACCAGCTTTTTCTACCAGCTCATATAATTTGTGCATCCAAGAGATAAAATTAGTAAATAAATTGTTACAACTTACTGTTGACTGCTCTTTTGTTTGTGTGTGATTTTAATTCATATGTAAATTTCTCGTCAATATATACCACTACTGCATTGTTGTACATTTCGCATTTCGCATCCAAATTAATTTTTATGCTCATTTTTTTGTAGTCAATTTGTTTTTATAATTTTAGCGAGTTTTCAACAGAATTATATCATCTGCTTATTTGATAATGTTGTTGAAATTTAGCCTTGATCGCTGAAATTTTCCACCGCCTCAAACGAGTGTTCAAAACCCGTATATTACACTGAAAAAAATATACTTAAACTGGAACGCTGGTATTCAAGAAAATTAGTCTTGGTCGTTTCATCTTAGAAGACCTAATATGCGACACTGTTGCTCTATATCTATGCTCAAAGTTTACTTGAATCAGTACAGAAGATCCAAAGTTTTCCTCTCATAACCATAAAAGACCGTCGACCATAAAAGCCGATTGCCGCTTCCTCTTCGCGCTGTCTATTTTGAAGTTGGTCTTCTCTTTTTGTATGCCGCTGTCTTCCTGACTAACTATAAAGGAATGCGAGTATCAAACTTAAAAAACTTTACCGCTCCGGAAAACAAAAGTTAACGCTGACCGAGGGCCTCTATCCGCTGCTTGTCGGCTTTTTTATTCGAATTAATTCAATTTTTTGCATCAACGATTTGGTTCCTGTCGCTAGTTTTGGCCGCGGTCTCGTCCGCGCTGGTCCAGCGTTCAAAGAGCGGAATTTCCATGGCAGGAGTTTTTTCTGTTTGTCCACTCATCTAAAATAAATGTTCGATAAAAAATCTAAAAATAAAAATTACCAAAATCCATGGCAGGAGTTTTTCTGTTTGGTCGGCGCTCATCTAAAATATGTGTTCATTCAAAAAATCTGAGAATAAAAATTACCAAAAAATCTACTACGTGGTACTGATGGGTTCTCTGTGTCAACCACATATCCGCTAGGATCTGGAGGCCAGTAACTTGCAGACTACTTCATTTTAGAAATCGATTGTCTCGATCCTTAATGGAAGCCTCGTGTTATAACGAACACAACGATAAATGGACTGAAAGAGTATTTATGTTGAGCTTTATTCGTTCAGTTCATCCCTGGCGGCTAATCTTCACTGCCATCTGTTCGGCACAACTTCATCTGTTACCTTAGATTTATTAATCTAGAAGAAACCTGTAAGAATTAAATGCTTCCGATCTCGAGACGGTTTTAGGACTTCGAATTATGGATCAATCTTTCTATCTTGAGCTTCTTTGAAAGTTATTGCCTCGGTTCTCTTTTTTATCGCGCTGGATGGCTGCACCAATGATCCCAATTCCCAACTCCCAGCTTTATATTCCCTTAGAATCTTCAATCATTTCATCGGAATGTGTTCATCCCATCATTTCACTTCAGATTCTGTGTATTTTGTACTGTATTTAATTGCAAAATTCATTTAATAAAAATTATTGTTTATTTGCTTTGTTCCCTTGGATAGAGCGGAATCAAAATATTTCAATAACCTTCTTACTCCTCGTTATGTATTGCTCTTTCGTCTTTTTAATGTTACTTGTGAGATCTCTTCATTGCAAGGGAAATTTTATGTGACTTGAATTTATTATTCTGGCGAATACCATTCCAAGCTTATGAATGTAGATCATGAATGTACATCATCACTTGTTTAATGTGCTATATAGTGACGGAGTTGCTTCATGAATGTTAGTGACGCGATCACTGGTCTGATGTGCTATAGTGACGGGGTTGTTTCATGAATGTTAATATCACTGGTCTGATGTGCTATAGTGACAGAGATGTTTGGTTCCCGTGCAGATATTCGTTCGGGCGCAGTTCGACTACGACCCTCTGGATGACGACCTCATTCCCTGCGCGCAGGCCGGCATCGCTTTCCGCACCGGCGATATCCTGCAGGTAATATCCCTTATTGCGTACCGGCGATATCCTGCAGGTAATATCCCTTATTCCGTAACGGCGATATCCTTCAGATAATATCCCTTATTCCGTACCGGCGATATCCTGCAGGTAATATCCCTTATTGCGTACCGGCGATATCCTTCAGGTAATGTACCTTATTCCGTAACGGCGATATCCTTCAGGTACTGTCTCTTATACACATCTAGATGTGTATAAGAGACAGGTGAGAGGGAGTGTCGGGTGAGGGGACATGTGGGGTGAGAGGGAGTGTCGGGTGAGGGGACATGTGGGGGTGAGAGGGAGTGTCGGGTGAGGGGACATGTGGAGTGAGAAGGAATGTCGGGTGAGGGGACATGTGGAGTGAGAGGGAATGTTGGGTGAGAGAGTTGCGTGAGGGAGAGAGTAGGGTTAGGGTGATATAAGTGAGGACTGTAGTGTGCGGGTTACGCCTCGGTGAATGTGACATTAGCGTATTTATGGGATAATTAGTAGGGCGGATTGAGTGCGATCAAATGGTCTTCGAATTTTGTTTCATTACGGTAGTTTTGTTTTAAATAAGATATCAGTACATTGGTCTTGCTTTTCGAAATTTTCATATTCATTTTGCTATGGTCATGAATGTATCATGATTTCCTTCCAGGCCTGCACTATGCTCGTAGAAATGCAAATCAATTATTGCGGTGCATTATAATCGGTCCTTGTATCTGTTTGCAGTCAACTGCTCATTCTTCGGCCGGAAAAAGAAGCAACACAAAGACAAATACGTTGCCAAGCACAACGCCGTCTTTGATCAACTCGACCTCGTTACTTACGAAGAAGTTATCCGATTACCATGTAAGTATTATAGCCAAAACCACTTACGAGAACTCCATTAATGGTGGAAAATATTATGATAATTGAATCTTGGATTCAAATGGTAATGACACTTTGTGATAACACTTTCCTGACACTGAAAACTTTAGTTGTGCGATTAATGTTGAATTTTCACGCTCAAAGCCCAAGTTCGCTCGGTTAGTTTTTACTTGAAGATTCCAAGTTGTTGTGTTTGCATTGCCCAGCTTACCGACGCAAGACGCTGGTGCTGCTCGGTGCTCACGGAGTTGGCCGAAGACACATCAAAAACACCCTCATCGCTTCGCATCCTGATAGCTATGCCTATCCTATACCGCGTGAGTCTCTTGTGGTACTTTTCTATTTTAATTTATTATGCTCATACCTGAAACTGCCTACGCCGTTGTTGGGATATTATGAGGCCCGGTTGGTGCTCTCCTTACTATTGTCCACATTCATTATGCAGTATGCATTGATTACATTCGCGTATAAATAATGTCATATGCCAGTGCATCTCAAAAAAATTGTAGTTTTAGCTACTATGTGTCAAGGACTTGTCTTATTTCTTAGTACTATTGATTTATCAGTTCGACCATAACTAGAATGCCCTTAATCATATTTTTTATTTTTGTTTGTCGTTCATTTATATTTTAGTCGATATCTAATGACGTTATAATAAACTAATCACATGATGGCATCTGCCCGCCTATCGTACTTGAAGTAACAGTGAATATTGTACAGTCGTATGAGACTGTAAATGCATATTTTTTACTGCATTTCCAGCCTTGACGTTAAGAAGGACGATGTTTTGTTGTTCAGATACGACGCGTCAGCCGCGTAAGGAGGAAGAGAACGGCAAGAATTACTATTTCGTGTCACATGACGAGATGATGGCCGACATCGCTGCTAACGAATACCTCGAGTACGGTGAGTTGTTGGTCCATAACTTCTTCCCCGACGTCCGCCTTTCAAAAGATGAAATTTCTCCATTGAGGGTCCAAATTTGCAACTTTGGGACGCCGTCAGCGCCGTTTATGACTACCAATTTTTTTACGACAAATGGAATACTTTTTATTTCTTTGGAGAAGCGTGAATAAAAATATATCCGCAGAGAAACGCTTTTTGGACATGCTCCCGGACTTGAAAGCTGTCTACAGTTGTAATGAAAACAGGTTATGTATTTCTAACTGTTATCAACTGATTATTTAGTGGAAAATTATTAAATAAATATAAGATTTTAACGTTAGTTCCTCAATGATGGCTTATACAAATGTATTGTAACTCGGCGACGAGATGAAGACAAGCCAAGGGACCTTAAATTCCAATCCATTAGCGAGCTCGCGATAAGCTCAAATAAATTCCTTGGCTCTAAGGAAATTATAAAATATTATATAAATATTTCATCCCTTTATACTTTTATTTTGATTCTTCCTCGTATAATTTCGTGGCATACAATCTTTGCTCGAGACATTTAATCCGTTTACTTATTAAAAAAATTCGCTAAAATTAGCTAAATCTCTTCCTGTTCTGTCATCTTTATTAGTCAAGACTTTACTGCGTGCTAGAGCTGTATTATATCTGCTAGCGGCATTTAGAATGCATTTTTTTAAATGATTAAATTGAATTTAGCAGCAGTAGATTGCTTTCTGGCTAGTGGGTGTTCTTGCAAAACTTCTCAGCTAACCAAAACGTGTTTTAAATATAAACTAATGGAGGAATCGGTAATTGGTATTTGATGTGTATTAGAAGAAACGAGTGGTTTAGTCCTGAAAAATAATTGGTGGCTAATAATTAGCGTTTCGGCTTTGTGTATTTTGGATTTGGAAGTTAAATCTGAAGCGGATGATTTATTCTTTAATTTATTGGAAATGCATGTAAATCTGTTGGTTTTAACACTGTTTCTTCTTGAGGAGCATTTTAAAACGGAATAGTTAATATTTGCAATCGATCGTGGCCTAGATATTTTTATTATTTGTTCGGCAAAAACGAGATTCATTTCCTCTCTTTTGGTGTCATCAGGAACCCACGAGGATGCCATGTACGGCACGAAGCTTGAAACCATCCGCAAGATCCACCACGAAGGCCGCATGGCCATCCTTGACGTAGAGCCTCAGGCGCTCAAGATACTCCGGACGGCAGAGTTCGCGCCCTACGTCGTCTTCATCGCTGCACCGTCGCTACAAAACATGACTGATGTGAGTAGCTCGGGGAATTTATATAATGTTATATATGTTATATATATGTTATATATATGTTATATATATGTTATATGTTATAATTTATACAATGTTAGCCTATTGGTGATGATGGCTGCCATCTTGGGTGAACAATTACAATGGCAGTCCATTATGAAAAAATTTGGCTTCAATTCGTCTCTACGATTTACATAGTCTAGATTTTTCATGCCAAATGGACAGTTGGGCCAACTTCTTCAACTAATCTACGAAGTAACGTGATAAACTAAAATTCGTTGCCATTATGTACGTACTGACGCTAAATAAGGCAAATTTGCAGCGAGCTGAAGTTCTGTGCGTGCTCTCCGGTTGAAGATCTCATTTAACTAATTTTTTTATTCGCCTTAGCGAGCCTCCGAAACTTATAATTATAAAAGTTGTAGTGTGGCCATTCATTATACTTTTCCAGAAAGGTACACACACCCAGTGTGGACTGTTCGTTTCTACTGCAGTTAGGAAGCAAAATGGATCATGCGTTTTGGCAGAATTCAGCTGTCGTGCCGTAGTTCTCAGGAAAGTTGCCTCTTTTGCTGCCGACGCAGCAGCAAAATACGACAATTGCCATGACGGCACTTGGCGCAATTTGTTCAGTTTACGGAGAATAAAATCTTTTACCATGGGAGAGCTGGGAAATAAAAGTTGCAATTGCATAAATGCTTCCTGAGTACCAGCCTGCTTGGGAAATTCGTGAACCAATTCAAGTCATGCGGAGAGCCTCCTAAAAGTGCAGGTTGAACTTAGTATAAAATAAAGAGGGAGCTACTGATTCTGGGCAACGTATATTTTCAGCGTAACTTCTGCATAATGTGATAGTTAGTACACGGTTGTGTTTACTTGGTACAAGTGTGCAGGGGGCGAGGTTAACAAGGAGAAAAAAAATTCTACCTTCGTAAAAGGAGCATGTTGAACTCCGGACCTCTCCGGAATCCCCTAAATTTTCTAAAAAATTATGCAATGACTGTGCACTAAATGTTTTGATTTCATTTTTTCTCGTGTAAACAGAATGAAAAAAGTATGAACGGAAATATTGAACAATGCTAATGCATTTCTGGCCGTCGGTTATGCTTGAATATGTTTTGATTTTTTATCATAGATTTTCTCAGACGTTTGAAAAAAATACGTTTTTCTTGCACCAGTACGACGGTTCTCTGGAGCGTTTGGCGAAGGAATCAGACCTGCTAAAGCAGGCGTACGGCCACTTCTTCGACCTGACGATCGTGAACAACGACATCGAGGAGACCATTCGGCAGCTGGAGAAAGCTCTGGACACGATGAGCGATACTCCCCAGTGGGTGCCGGTCTCTTGGGTTTACTGACACCCCGCCCCTCAGCGCGACTCCCCGTCAGATTGCCACTGCTGCGGCACCTCCAGAGGTTTGTCTCAACAAATTATGTCAATATTGCTAATTGCGATGGTGAAATTTGCCATCTCACGGTTAGGTATGATTAATGCATATTTTGTATCTGTGACGCTACCTATTTTGTTACATTACCCATCAGCGGCTGCACGGTTCAATCATAGCAGTCAAATAACGCTTTTTTCTTGATATCCTCTGACATTCGTTTGGTATTGAATGTTTGTTGTGTACAGATCGCACGAACATTATCAAATAACAGTTAATTCAGGGAATTAATTACCGTGTTCTAGCATGAACATTATCAAATAAGAGCTAATTCAGAGTATTAACTACTGTGTTCTAGCACGAACATGATCAAATAAGAGCTAATTCAGAGTATTATCTACTGTGTTCTAGCACGAACATGATCAAATAAGAGCTAATTCAGAGAATTATCTACAGTGTTCTAGCACGAACATGATCAAATAAGAATTAATTCAGAGAATTAATTACTGTGTTCTAGCACGAACATTATCAAATAAGAAATAATTCAGAGAACTAATTACCGTGTTCTAGGCAAGGAGGCGGCGCAGAGCTCGCGTAAACAACATCCTCACAGGAGGTGATCTCTGCTCAACTCTGTCTCATCCTGCAGCTGCTCGCTGGCGCCGCTCTCTTCAGCAACGTGCCCCCCACACCTCTTAGCTCTTATAATTATTATAACTCCAATGATGCTTAAGGAGGGTAATCCTAATGATAAAAGTAGGAGTTTTTCAAGGTGTGATTGTTTACTATTAATAATGTTAGTGACGTCGGCCATCGTGACTGTGTTCGTTCAAGAAGAAGACGCGAGTGCGTGTTTTTATGTGAGTGAAATAAGTAGCTCTAAATGCTGCCGTCAATACCGTGGTTTGTGAGCTGAAGCCGAATTGCAGTTCTCAAATCTTTAGAAAAAAAGTGAGCTTTGAGAGTTTACCTGGGTCTATATTACTAGTCATTCTTTTCTGCGTGAATGGAGTAATTTGATGGTCATGTGAGTCAATGACGATGGCGAAATCGTCTTTTTTAACGAGGATGCAACGAGCGATTCATAACTTCCTTCTGGGTGAGACAATAACAAATGTTCAACTCAAAGATGATGTTGGTGAACATCAAACTGTTCGGCTTACGTGGAAATGAGGCGACTCCTCAATAATTAAATTTTGCCGCTGGCCAATACTTCATCCAATTTTTATGATCATTTTTGCCATCTTCCTCATCAGCAGGCAATATGCGGCGTTCGCAACTCTTGAAAAATGTAATCCTGAGTAATTTTTCTTCGAAATCTAAACCTCCATTCATGGCTGCTTCTGAGATGCCGCTACATTTTTAAAATCGAAGTTTTTAGTAAAGGTGAATAAGACTAAATGCCGTCGCTAATTGGTTCAATGTTATTTGTATAAATATAAAGGAATTTTGTAACAGCCAACGGTGTAGTGTCATCTCCGAAAAATTCATACTTATGATACTCGCATTTAAATCATTTCAAAGAAGTGCTAGCTATTGATGCGTTATATCTTGTAATAATAATAATGTGAAAAGAGGCAGAGCTCTACATAATTTTTCTTGCGGGATTTCTGACTTGGCTTCTGATGTGATTTATTCTTGAAATATTTTTCACATGACTAAAAATTAAACTTTTTTTAGTAATCGAACGTATGTTGCTGAATTCCGGCTCAATATAACTGTAGGAAAATGCTAGGCTCCATCCGCAATTACGAGGAGGAATTTATATATCTTAACATTATTCGTAACTTTTCCAGAGTAGGTTTTTAGAAGCTGTGCGCATACCTCAGTCCCCCCTCGGAAGCAATCATCTAGAAGTATGATTATTGTCGGTGCTACGCGCGCCCAGTGTCGAGCCTTGCGTTCGATCTCTGTATAAAGCTGTAGCTCACCTATATTTTTGAATTTATCTAATGAAGACGAATTTCTGACGTGAGAAAACACATCGCTATCGTTAGCTCTTGTTCTGTGAAATTCAAAGCTACTCTCGTAATTGGCAGTAAAACACCGAGCGTCTTGCCCTACTTCCTCTTCTTTCCCTTGTAGTTTGCTGACTCTTCTACCGACTGGTATACAGAATACTGTCGGCAAACTGATTTTTCGAATAAATATAATAGACCAAATGTTATCTAAACTGTCTTCAACATAAATCATCAACGGGATATCCGGCGTGCGAAATTTTAAATCTCACTCGTGTTAATAATTGCCCGTGTGAACATTTGTGAGTGAAGGGCTTCTGGAAACGCTGCTGAAATGACTCGCATATTCTTCTCTTTGCATTAGAGTGCAGACATAAAATGGATTGGTTTTGAATAAATCAGCTCCCTTAAATTCTTATCTCTGTTCTATAATGACTTACAATCAATTTTTTGTTTAATTCCCATGTTTTCAAAACTCGAAAATTATTCTGACTATTAATAATTATTGCACTAATGAGTTGAAATATTCTTGGGTGAGACCAAATGTTTGGATAAATTTATTTAAGTATTTCTACAGTATTTCCTGTTGTTTTTAAGTACGTTCAATATGACTTAGTTTAGCCGTCATTTATTACGTAATGGCCTTGCCACAGCATGGGTCATGTCATAAGACCGCCTTGTTGCGTGAGGCAGCACAAAATACATTTTTTCTACGGTAAGTTTTGCTGATAGTTCGTAGCTTCGCTAGTAGTAATGACTCTGTTCTTGATTCTGTGTTCTAATCTTAGCTTGAAGTGAGCGATGTGTCCGGACAGTGGATATTGCCGAATGTATTAGTTTGATAATTTCAAGCTGCAATGCTGCAGCTAATTTTCAGTTGGTGCTAATACTCATTGCACCATCATGGTTTTCATGCTATGGTATAACCTGTCTTTTTGTTAGCTGTAAAATAATTTCTGTTGTTTGCAAATGGAATTTTCTTGTTTGGAAACTTTGTTTGTAAAAGTTATTTTTTTTTATATTTGTACATGCTATCTACTGTGAATTGTTATATTCTTTTTGAAGAGGGTTCTGGTGCGTTGCGTCTATTCCAAACGAACTTTGATTTCTGACCATAATACTTTTATTCGAGTTTTCAATGCATTTGTTTTGCTCCTGTCGTCGGTGGGTTTAAGAACAATCAAAATAATTGTGAAAAAAGTGATTCGTACAAAATAGTGAGAAGTGAATTGAAGTTTATTTCTCATAGTTTATTTTAGACTGGACCTCGTGTGATCGGAGGAATGCATCTTTACAGCGCTGGTCCCTAACCTACAGTCACGTTCCTGCAATTCAATTCTGTCCAGGCTTCGTGGAATTTAGGTCTAACCTCGTTCCATGTCTCTCCCCAAGAAATCAATTCATAGCTTGTGTCTCATCTCTCGTCATAGAAATTATCCTGAATTTCTAAACCAAGCAAGGAAGTTTGCAAAGCGTAATACTTTGTATGCAATAAGTATGGAAGTTGATGTGTACAGTCGATGTACGTAAGAATGTAGGTGTGGATGTGAAATTCAGACTCGTCACCTCGATGTGTCGCTGATGAAAAGTTTTGTCTTGCGACTGCACTGGTGGCGCTGCTCACTTCGTTATCATTGCACCAAATGGAGTTCTCGATCTTTATTCAAAGTAGAGTAAGTTTAAGTGGAAGGAAATAGTGTGATTACATTTCGTTGTACCGCACATCAGCAATATCCTAACGAGAGGAATAGCTTTAAGTTACTCTGTATCATTCTGATCGACTGAAAAAATTCTATAAAGGTAATCTAATAACAGCATTTTTATGTTCCTATTTCTCTCTATTCAAAAAAAAAAAATTCTACCAACTCATCTACTTCATTTGTCCATGCCGTGAAATTTTTTTATTATTAACAATGTTGCAGTAACTGTCAAATTTCCCTCTGCGAGTCTAGTGCCAAATTATGAAATGGTTACTGGCTGTTGAGAAAAAAAATAGAAAACAGCAGAAACGAAAGGATTTTTCTCTATTGAAGTGGTAGTGCGTCATTCCTTATTGTTGTATACTATAATGAAGTTTATTCCACGAAGAGTAATAAGAATATTAATTATAAATGGTAGCTACATTAAATTATACAAAAATCTAGTGTAAGGCATCTGATGTTCCGTACTTTGTCAGGTTATGTTGTACCAACCATCGAGCTCGCCGGCTTCTAAAAACTTGATTATTCGAAACGCTCAAGTGCACAATTACAACTTATATGATTGTTCCAGGTCAGATAGTCAGGTTGAGCTTCAACGATCTTCTACTGAGGAACTTCGTCTTTTTCTATCATGTATTTTATTTCGAAGGCATACTATTTATCCCCACTTCTGAACTTAGCACGTTACCAAGCTCCTATTTCAACAACAGGCGCAACAAGTACAAGTTCCTCTCTCTTCACTAGACCTCCAAATAAGAATAATCAAGGTTATGAGAGTACTGTTTTTGGAGCAGAACCACACTCGCAAGTCGTGTACTTGGTGAACAACTGCAACAACTAATCATTGCTCTCATTAAGCGCTATCTCAATTGTTCAATTATTCGAATTCACAGTCCATGAGTCTGCGAGATCTTGAGGAAACCATTTTATTTATAACTGAGAGCTATTACTGCCAGTACGGAAAGCTATGACTTCTAATGTTTCGGCAACCTACGAGAAGTCATGCTGGACTCAAGCCGAAGCTGTAGTGCTTCATTCATTTCTAGGATGACGCTTGCAGCTCTCGCGACAATATACAGTAGACTAGTAAATATTACCGTTCCTTCAAAAACATGATCTTCTGCCGTTTTGTAAGCGAGTGCGCATTTTGAATGTCAGTGTCATGCCGGGTACTCGATTTATTGTCCCGGATGATCTGCCGGACTCGCAGGCTCGGATATTCATTGTGAACAAACAATCAGAATCTTGTTACCCCACTTATTTACTGAAATAAAATCCCTACATCTTCACTTTGCTTTTATTAACCTGATTTATACAACCTAATAAAGTTAGAAGGCATAAAAAATTCCCACATAGAATCAAATTGATCAAGGACTAGTGAATGACCTCCATCGTGTAACGCATGAAAAACGCCATCAGTTAATCTGCTCTTTAGTTTATTTGTAAGAATAGTTGAACATAATTCTTAATGTACGAGCTGAATTCATGTAAATGATCATGTCTCGAGAACTGGAAAAAAAAACAAAATATTGTAATTATATACATAAACCGTAGTATGTAAACTCTATGTACGAAATCCTTAAGCTAAACTTGCCTTCACATCGCCATGCTGCCGACAGTGGGGAATGTGGCTCGACTCAGCAGCCGACGTCAGCAGCACGTCGCCCTGACATCTGAAACCAAGAACAAATGTTCATCTCTTGACAGCAGACTAATAATTTATTCAATTATTAGAATATTCGACAGCGCGCTCCTCACGCCTGATCTATGTTACCCTAGGCAGCCTGAAGCTAATTAAATCCGTTTTGACTTTCGCGATCCTCATTTTAAGTTAAGTTTTGAACTGTATTTGCTTCATCGAATTAATTAATGAACGAACTGAAAAATTAGCAACAAATTTTTCTTCGAGCGATTAGAATTGTTACTTTAGAAATACGTGGGATATGGGGACTAACTAGCTTCTCGAGGGAATTAGCAATACTTCATAAACTAAACTAGCAACTTCAGAATACCGAGAAGCGAAATTGCCAACATATCAATTCGATCACCAAAATTTGGTGACTGCGAGTTGAGAAATAATGGGAGCGCTTACAGACTCCTATATTCTCTAAACATCGAAGGCTGAAATCAATTCGAATATCTTCAAAGAGGGAAAATAGTACGGAATTATTATTTTTGCCAGCTAAAGACATAGATTGAAATTTCAATAACGCTTCAGATTGTCAAAAAATATCAGTTAATGATTATAATTTGGTGCTCATGCAATTACTTCAGAAAAAAAAAGAGAAAGTACGACTGACGAAGTCTTCCGCACGACATTAGTTCACATTGTTGGCTACGACTGTCTATCTCGTCGCAGATTTCGTCGTGCGTTCGACTTACGATCTCAGAGTACGACTGAAGGTCTAATCTTTCTCACTTTTGATAATATTGTACAAAAGGTCTCAGCACGAATCATCGTGCGACGATCGCATCGATCTTATTGTAGGAGATCATCGATCTTATCGACTGATGATCTCCTCGCACGACTCACGATCTCAACAGTTTTTATTACGTGGTAGCTGGATACAATAGTCTTGATTTTCAATATCCAAAATTAATAGATTGGTTACATGGTCTAGTTTTCGGAAAGTTTATGATAATATGTAGCGGCATCTTGATCTTCATGTTCGATAATAAGCATATGAAGGATTCGAACACGAAAGTCACAAATTTTGAATGCATTAATACAATGCCCAGCAGCCACTAGTAATAAAAAGCTGGAGCAAATATCCGCAACTGTAAAACGAAATGCATTTCATTAGACCTTTCGATTTATCCAAGAAAAGCTGTATTTGCAATGGAAGACGACGAGTCAGTCTTTTGGTGAGTCAGCAAATCAAAAGGTATGGAAATGCGTTAACATAAATATTTGAGCTGATTCGGAAACTCGTCTTATAATAACGCAGAATTTCATGCAGCGAAGTTTCGAGGTTCGTCTCCAGCAACAACTTATGAAAAAACCTATCGCAAATGCAGAAAGGATGATAGCTGGTATTTGCTACGGGTGTTTCTGCAAATTTCAGCAAGAGCGCCTGCTGTAGCTGTAGCAGAAGCAAACGACAAAATCGAAAGTTCAAGCAATATTGACATAACATATTGATCTCGGCGCTGCAGTGTAGGCCTCTGATGTGGCCTGTCGCCGATTCTTTTCCTTTTCGTGCCTTGTTCACAGAAGATCTAAAATCGTGTCATTTGACCGGATCCTTTCATGATTGACGATAGTTTGAAGTAGCTACTAGACTTCCACCGGGTTGGATATGGTGCTAGGCATTTCAAATCTGAACATACATTTTTCCATAGCTTTTTCTTGTCTGTTCTAGACAAGCAATTTAAAAGCGAAAGCCACAGGAGCAGCAGCATCAAGCAGTGTAAAAGAAAGCACTACAAAATTTATTTGAGCCACATTCCCTGCCACGATAACCAGTGGTTATAACGGCACCCAACAACAGCATCAGCAACAGCTACAGCACTGAACACAAGCAATATCACTTAACAGCTACAATAGCTTCCAGCAGCAACAGCAGCTCTCATCAGCTACAACAGCAGCTCTCAACAGCTACAACAGCAGCTCTCATCAGCTACAACAGCTGCTCTTTACAGCTACAACAGCTGCTCTTTACAGCTACAACAGCAGCTCTCAACAGCTACAACAGCAGCTCTCATCAGCTACAACAGCTGCTCTTTACAGCTACAACAGCTGCTCTTAACAGCTACAACAGCAGCTCTCAACAGCTACAACAGCAGCTCTCATCAGCTACAACAGCTGCTCTTTACAGCTACAACAGCTGCTCTTAACAGCTACAACAGCAGCTCTCATCAGCTACAACAGCAGCTCTCAACAGCTACAACAGCAGCTCTCAACAGCCACAACTGCAGCTCTCAACAGCTATAACAGCAGTTCTCATCAGCTACAACAGAAGCATTCAACAGCCACAACAGCAGCTCTCATCAGCTGCAACAGAAGCATTCAACAGCTACAACAGCAGTCCTCATCAGCTGCAACAGAAGCATTCAACAGCTACAATAGCAGCTCTCATCAGCTGCAACAGAAGCATTCAACAGCTACAACAGCAGCTCTCATCAGCTACAACAGAAGCATTCAACAGCTACAATAGCAGCTCTCCACAGCTAAATCAGCAGAACGCAGCAGCTAAAACAGCAGCAGAAGGTACCAGCAAAAAACACTCAACAGCATGCAGCAACAGCACCCAGAGCAGAAGCAACAGCAACAGGAGCAACAGCACCCAGCAACAGAAGGCTGCGACCCTCCATGCTCATTCGTCCCATAATTAGAGGCCTGTGCAGCGAGCCCTCATTCGTAATGGCAGATATTAAATGCGAATAAAATAGCCTTGAATTCACCAGTGCTGTCGATTTCCGTGATCTGACATTTCAATTACGTGCTCCTGAAGCGAAGTACTTCAATCGGGGGTCGGGATATGGGAATATTTCACACAGAAACGAATTAAATAGCTTAATGGAAACATTCTCATGACGCATTCGATTACGTTGAGCTGCTCGACCGCCTGATTTGAGCGTTACTAGGAATATATGATCATGAGCTCATAATTAGTCATTTATGAGATAGTAATTATTAGTCAGCAAGTGGAAATACATTTTCCAGTTCACTAAAAAATTTTATTAAAGCGATTTGATAAGATTGATGACAGGTTTAGACCATTCGTTCACATCCGCCGATAACACCAAGCAATTTATTAACAGAGGTTCGACCGCTGCAAGGAAGTATTGACTTTCAGAAATTACGATGGGCACAAAGTGCGTCTAAATGAGACCTTAAAATTATGAAAGGAATATTGCTGAAAACGGCAAAATCAAAATTTGTGACGAACGTTTAGAAAATACTTTAATCAAATTTAAAAAGTTGGTACCTTAACAAGTAATAATTAGTAATATTATTATACCTAATAGTAATAATAATGATAATTATTGTTTTTATATTAGAAAAAATCAATGATAATTATTATTACCATTACTATTACTATACTACCTTAGTATTCGAAATTGTAATGCTTAATTTGAAAATCTCTACTTATATAGCAGGATGTAAGCTACATCTGGCGTTTCTCTATCAGAAGTATCATTGCAGTGTGATGAGGTTGGGGTTAATAATTGATGAAGATTGAACTCATTTAGACTAACAACTTCTTTATTCCTTCAGTGTAATTTTTTGCGAGGGCAAAAGTTTAAGAATAAGCGTGATTGGATTTGATAATTGTCAGTGTTGAAATAAGTGTATTTATTGGTTCTTCAGTTTTTTATTGACACACTAGTGCTGTGTTAAGCAAAATTGCCGCGCACAAGTATAATGACTTAGGCAAAATGTATAGCGGCTGTCTATAGAATAAGGGTTTTTCGGAGTTATAAAGCCAAACCCATGGTTTGAAAACAATAGAATAAGTGTTCCATGGTTTGAAAACCGTAGAATAAGGGTTTATCGGGGTTTTAAAGCCAAACCCATGGTTTGAAAACAATAGAATAAGTGTTTAACGTACATGACATCAGCTAGCGTGATGCTATAATATATCGGTGCTGCTCTGCAGGATGTTTTATGACATCCTGCAGCTTCTGTGATCCAAGAGGATTGTCATTTTTTTTATTTCGATTCCCCTTATGCCGAAAAACTTTACGAAAAATATGTCGTTTATTGAGTCATTTGCTCACTTCACGCCGAAACTCAATACAAATTCAGGAAATTTTCGTTTTTCCAGTTATTATTGACTTGCATTACCAAGTAGTTTTGAACAAAAGATGATCCCTGAAATAAGAAGATACGGAAACAAATTTGTAACACACACACTCGGCTGCCAGCGCTGGGTGCAAGCATATAGAACAAAGCAAGCTTGTTGGGAGCCTCGTAAAGCCTGGTAATATTGACATGGCTGCCATGACGACGTTAGCCCAGCGTTTTGGTGTCCTGGCAAGCAGGGCCAGGGTTGGGGCGGCTTAGGTCAAATAGCGGCATTTGCTTGACGACCTCGCGTGTGATGCTGCACCATTCAAATTACTCTGATTTACGGCTCTGCAAGAAGCGAAACATGAGCACAATGTCTGGCTTGCTTTCAAAGTAAATCCTTAATCTAATTAGGCAGAATTTTTAGTTTGTTGTGTAATTATCACAAAAAGAAAAAATGTAAAAACAGCGTTAGGTTTTCCAAAGGCGCTAAAATGTATCCATATTATATTTTCACAACATGTTGAATTCAGATACTAAAAATCATTATTAATC